AAGAGGCCTTCTACTGAAATCGGTAGCCCGCAACTAGGTTGTGCCAAAAGACCATCGCCTCAGCTTGTCAGACTCATGTCTCGCAGCAAAGTTATAGACTTTCCAAAAACTACGAGCCAGAAATTCCACATTGCCCTGTCGTGGCTAGGTTTGGTGAGCTCTTAAGCTCGCCTGTAGCTGTATCAGGGGATCGCCGTCTTTAAATCGCCATGGTTGTCCGCGAGAAGCAAAGCCCTAATCGCGTCCCAATTGGGTCTTAAAAGTTTTTGGTTTCTCAGCAGGATTATGATCTTATCTAATCCCTGCTCACCTGCCTAGTACAGTTTTTACCAGAGTGCATGAGGAGAGTGAGGAACATGCTCCGTACTAACCTCTCTCCATGTCCTTTACCAGTGATGTAATAAGTAGCCATGACAGTACTTCTATCGGGGAATGTAAAGTTTTGGTGAAATGACTAATCGAGGAAAACCTGAATAGGACAGGTGTGTTTCGTATCAGACAATTGACATTGCAGCACAGCAAACTCATCCATTAAATAATGATGTAGATCTCTTCGGAAGCCCGGACCGCAAACAAGTAACAGTCCCGGGTAGCCGCTCCACCCGCTCGTAGACAACAGCGGACTGCGACTGTAACATACATTACAATATATTACGTCATGTTTTCTAGCCACTTGTGATCTGACAACAACGCAAAGCCTGCAAACCGGTGCCGATGTACATCCATGACATTTTTGGCATCTGAAGCTTAAGAACTTTAATTAAGTAAGTTGTTCAGCGCATTTGCGAGGAAACTATTCGCACAGAAAAGATAGTAGTAATAGCCTCATTCGTCGGAGAAAAATAGAGGGAAATGGAGATATAGATGTGTTGATATTTCGGCAACATGCCTTTATTGAAACAATGGCAAAAGTTCTAACGTCTTGTCTGAGTTTAATTAAGCAGTGAGTATATTTGATGGACTCAGATTCTGAGTCAATGGAATGAACTCATTGCTAAATTTCCTCGCACCCATCAGCTAACAAGATTCCATCCACTCCTGAGCATAACGCACAACATGCGGTCGCTTAATTTATTTCATAATGCGATGAACGGCACAGAAGAAACGTGAGCAAAAAGATCGGTGCATAATCCGCCATGCTAGACTTATGTCAGCGCACCTGTTCCAAATGACAATACAGAACAGACCGAACAGAAACAGCACCAGCCACTGCTGCCGCCATCTCCCCACACTGCAGTTCGAAAGTCTTCATGATGAGGTCGTGGAAGCACGGCTTCAGCGTCAGACCGCCTGGGAGGAAGGGAAGGGGGAGGGTGGGGAACGGGCTTAAGGACCTTAGTGCCAAATACGTGTCCTGATTTGAAAAATATCAGAGTTCGCTTCTTTTTACCTCAAGGAGTATTGTGATACACACTTTCCTATGTGAAACTGGGCTTCATTTTCTTCACGGTCCAAAAAAGGCATATTTTGCCCAGCTTTTGCCATTTTAGGAGGGGCACATACCCCGGTTGACCTTCCGCCCTTGCGCCTACTATCTGAACCCCGTCGTTATTGGTTTTTGTGACGGATATAAACGCATGCATGGCATGATTTTTGGAACTATTTTTTACGTTTAGCTTAGTATGAAAGGACATTGCCGTAG